GGAGGGATCTCTGTCTTGAGCAGAGGCATGGAAGGTGATGGCATACACAGGGTTGGGGAAGAGTCCAGTGTGTCCAGATCTCAAGGCGGGTGTGCTTGTGGTTGGGAGGTGAGAAGGGGGTGAGGAAGTTTGGAAGGCCTCCCTAGAGCGTGAGCAGGTGTGGTTCTTTTGGATGCAGAGAATTCAGGCTTCTGAGCCACCTGAAGGGATTGGGACTACTCTGGTTGTTATTAGGGTGGGCATAGCAAGGAAGAAGAACTTGAAAATCTAAGGCACCAAGGCTCTCCATAGACAGGCCTCTCTTGCTGTCCCTTATGGACAACCACTTTCTCCTCATCTCTTAGCTTTGCTGTGCTGGCCTCCCCACTCCCCTCTCATTCCTGGTCAGCCAGTTTCCGCAGAGTCTTCTGGTCATGGAGCTTGTTCACTTTTGCTCTAGGAATTGCTTGGAGATAGCCTCAGGGATGCGGAGGGTGTACATGGGAGAACAAAATAGGAAAAACCAGGAAATCCTCTGGACTTGGCAGACTTTTAGTAGAACAGCCCACATTGCTCTGTTTTACACATTGACATCTGGGTGAGTTCCACTTGAAGAAAGTGTTCCTGTGGCACAAACAGAATTTATGTCTTAGAGGGAGCCATTCTGCTTGGCTTTCACTGATTACGTCACTTGAATTGGGTAAGATCTTGTATCTCTGGTCTCCTCATAAACAGCCCACGGGCATGTATGTGCAGGGGCCGCCACAGGTCGAGGGCTCTTTCTGAAAACAGGCCCAGGTTTGTGAACCCTGCCTGAGGTGGTAAGGTGTGGAAGGCAGTTTTAAATCAAAGGGAATGTTGGATGTGACTGAAAATGTGACTGACGTGTCCAGGCAACCTGTCACGTTTGAAAGTGTGACTTTTAGTCCCCTGCACAGTATTTTCTAGAGTCTTTCTATTCCATGAGAGGCTTAGTTACACAACATTTCCATTTTCCGCTAAGGCGTTGAAATATTCCTTACTCTTGTTCCTTTTTGGAGATCTCCGTGCATCTTAGCCTATTGAAAGTTGTGAAAACCTGTCAGGGGAAAGTTTACTTCAAGTAAAAGGAAATGTTTTTTGAAAAAACACCCATACACACACATATAACAGGGATTAAAACTTTGGAGATTGATGACTCTGGAATTGAAAGCATCAATAGTTTTATGAAAAGACTTAGATAACTTCCATGGTAATAGATGGTTACTCAGTTGTGGGGTGGGGACTCCTATGACATTAGTGAGAAGCCTCCTTACCTTTTTGAAAATGGCATCACAGTGAAACGCTGGGACACCTGCACCCTGATGTTTCTAGCAGCAATGTCCACAATAGCCAAACTGTGGAAGGAGCCTCGGTGTCCATCGAAAGATGAATGGATAAAGAAGCTGTGGTCTATGTATACAATGGGATATTCCTCAGCCATTAGAAATGACAAATACCCACCATTTGCTTCGACGTGGATGGAACTGGAGGGTATCATGCTGAGTGAAGTAAGTTAGTCGGAGAAGGACAAACATTATATGGTCTCATTCACTTGGGGAATATAAAAAATAGTGAAAGGGAATAAAGGGGAAAGGAGAAAAAATGAGTGGGAAATATCAGAGAGGGAGACAGAACATGAGAGACTCCTAACTCTGGGAAATGAACAAGGGGTGGTGGAAAGGGAGGTGGGTGGGGGGTGGGGGTGACTAGGTGACAGGCACTGAGGGGGACATTTGATGGGATGAGCACTGGGTGTTATGCTATATGTTGGCAAATTGAACTCCAATAAAAAAATGGCATCATTTCTATAGTGTGCTTGGACATTCATTTGTTCAGCAAATATTAGGTGCCCTCAGTGCTGGGCAGAAACTCTTGGTTTGCAGTGTAAAAATTCTTATTTTTTTATTGGGTTGGTTTTTCAGGAAGGTGCAATTTTTAATGCTCATTTTTAGAATTCTGTGTTTCTATGAAATCAAAAAAAATAGTAGCACCACTACTGAACATTTTTAACCACAATAACGTGTCTAGAACAATCAGTATCTCTGGGATCCAGAGTTCTTTCCCCTCCATCAGTTGACTGCTCAGTTTTCTAAACATGGAAATATACGAGGCCCTGGTAGAGATGAAGGGAGAGTCTAGTGCTTCTCCCCTCTGTGCAGGGTAGGAATCAGTGGGAATCAGGAATGCTCAAGAATTAGCACCATGCTTGGGTTCATGACAGAATAGTAACTGAAAGGTTCTATTCTGTAGTATTTAAAGGATAAACATTACCTAATAATTTTTTTTAAGTTGGAAAGTTTATAGGAGTTAAAACTCCTCTTTTGGCTCATAATATATTCCTCCTCCACCAAATTATATGGTAGCTTGTTCCATGTTTCAATTTCTAAATAAATTGGTCTTCATTATTCTTGGATTTCTGACAGACATCACGTCTAAGAATTAATGTTTTGCATTCTGACACTTTGAGCATGTTAAACAAATTACCCAGTGTCATTGTCACTGAATTAATTAGAAGGATTCATGTGAGACTTTAGCACGCCTATGTGAACGTGTTTTTTTTTATTAGGCTTCATTTATTTTTTTATTAATAATTCCAACTCTACATTGGTATTGTGGTTTTAACGTTACCTGCGTCAGGGAGCTGTCATGAGGATTGATCAGTAAAGCAGTTAAAACAGTGTCTAGCACAGAGTAAGGGCTCAAATGCTTACTTTATTAATGAACTTTGCAACTATGAGATGAAGTAATCAGCATGGATATAATTATCCCCATTTTATCAGGGAAGATTCTGGTGCTCAGAGTTTTGATCATTTGGAATTACTGGCGGTGTCAGGATGAGAGCCAAGTGTTCATATTTCTAGTCTTGTGTTCCTGATTGCCTTAATAACTGAAATTTAGGGTTTAGTATTTTGATATATGAACTTGGGGGGATGCACCTGAAGTCAGCATATGTGCAAATGCTTAGTATGATACTGGGCATATAGTAGGAATGCAATTAAAATTGTTTTTTTTCTTTCTATGCAGTTTACAGGTGTCAGGATTCTTTTTTCTATCCTCTTCTCCCTTCTCCCCATTGATATCCCAGATGAGCACTTTATCTCCAGACTTTTCAGGTGCCTCCGGTCTTTAGCACTTCCTGGTTGTCTTAGCTCAGACTGGCATTATACAGTCTCATAGACAGAGTGGCTTGAAATGAAATGTACTTTCTAAGAGTTCCTGGGGCTGAAAATCTGAGATCAAGGTGTTGTCAGAGTTGGTTTGTCTGAGGCCTAGCTCCTTGGCTTGTAGGTAGCCACCTTCTCCATGTGTCTTCACATGGTCTTCTCTCTGTACATGATGAGTATGTCCTAATCTCCTCTCCTTATAAGGACACTAGTCATTAGATTAGGACCATTCTCGTGACTTCATTTTAATTTCGTTACTTTTTAAAATACCCTATCTCCAAATATAGTCACATTCTGAATTACCAGGGGTTAGGGCCTCAATATGTGAATTTAAGGGAAAGACACTTCAGCCTCTAAGAGTGATCTGTAAGGAAGAGATCTAAGCTTCAGAACCCCAGCCCAGTATGCTCCCCCCACCTACACTCACAACCCCTGTGGGTTTCATGGCTATCACCATTAAATTTCATTAGGTGAACTCTGTTCCAAAAGCAGGCAAAAGTATAATCTAGTTCCTTCCTTAGGGAATGGAAGAAAGGAGGTTGGGGCCTATTATGTGCCAGGCACTGTGCTGGGTGCCAATGCCATATAGATATTTTGTTACCCAGTGTCAACATGGCCAAGGATAGGGTGAGCATAATTGCCTCCTTTTAACAGAGGGAGAAAGAAACAGCCACTTGCCTTGCTCACACAGTCATTGTGTGATTTACTCATGTGGCACTCCTATTTCTCAATGATGTTGAGAATATGAGGTTAGGAGCATAGGACCATGTGGGCGAAGCAGGAAGAAAGCTGACCTTGTGTTTCACCCAATTCAAACTCTTGAGAATTAAAAAGTCAATGCAGGCTGATAAAGGAAGGAAAAACAAATGGGGGAAAATTTTTTTAAAGGCAAGTTTAAGACTCTTTGGGAAAAAAAGTCACTGAGTTCTGAAGGGAGTAGGGGAAGGCTCTGTGTCAACCACTTTTCTCCATGCTAATCCATCAGTATGTAAATAAATTTGTGTTTATCCAACAGCTTTAATCCATCTCTCCCGGATATTTTGTTTATCTCTCTCTGGCTAGAGGCAGCACGATGTGGCAGTTGGAAAGTCAGACTCTGAAATGAGACCATCAGGTGCAAATTTAATTTTCATCGCTTGTTAGCTGTGTGACAAGTCATTTAATCTCTTTGAGGCCTTGGTTCTCTCTGCTATAAAAAAAAAAGTGGAGATGATAATTTTTGATGAGGTTGCTGCAAATGTCTATGGAATGTGCTCAGATCAGCACCTGGAACCTAGTAAGCCTCACCGAAGGATTAGCTGTTGCCCCTATAGAAAGAAGAACAGGCAAAGGCCAGGATCTTTGCGTTACTTCCCTACATAGGTCTCTAATGCTTGGAAATACTTAATGGGCAGATGGTTGACACTCATCCATATCTGTTAAATAAATGCATAAATGCAGATGTAGTGGACCCTAAGGAATCTGTGATGCAGAGGAACTACTTGGTTTCAGCAAGTTTTTAGAGTTTGTTGTTTGGTTGAAGGCATGAGCCCCTTGGTGGAGGGATAAAGAGAAGACATTAACCAGAGCAGGGGTGAGAAAGACTTTCTCAGTCTCCCAGTGGTAGGAGAGCCGTAATTTGTCCATGGTTGTTTTCCCTCCAATTTTCCTGTATCATCTGTAGATCTGGGGGTAGAATCATTTCCTGGGCCTCTGGACTCTGACAGTGTAGAAACCCCCTACTGACACACAGATATGTGAGTGGCACCCTGATGCATTTCCTGAGCTCTGGGATTGACTTAATGATTTGTGTTGTCATTGAAAAATTCTAAAGTGATTGCCAAATTTTCTTTCCAGGCTCAGGCTGCATGAAGAAAAAGTTATTAAAGATAGGCGACATCATCTCAAAACCTACCCAAACTGCTTTGTCGCAAAAGAACTGATTGACTGGCTGATTGAGCACAAAGAGGCTTCTGACAGAGAGACAGCAATCAAACTCATGCAGAAGTTAGCAGACCGGGGCATCATTCATCACGGTGAGTGGGGTGGCCAAGGTGACTTGGGAAGAAACCAAGGACCATGTCTTCTACTCTAGATCTGAACCTACTCATCTTTTAAAAAATATTTTATTTATGTATTTATTTATTTATGAGAGACACAGAGAAGGAGGCAGAAGGAGAAGCAGGCTCCCTGAGGGGAACCTGATGTGGGACTCGATCCCAGGACTCCAGGATCACAACCTGAGCCAAAGGCAGATGCTCAACTACTGAACCACCCAGGCATCCCCTGAACCTACCCATTTAAGAAATAAAACCCTTGGTCTCCTGTGCAACTCTCTCTAGTGACATTCCCCTTCTTCCTCCAAGAGGCATTTGGGTTTATTTCCGGTTACTTCTTCATACTTTTTCCTTTCTGTTTATGCATCTCTTAGCAAGGTATCATATTGTTTTAAGCACTTTAAATCATTATAAAAATGCATGTTTATTCCTTTACAACTTGATCATCACACCATTTGTGAGATCCACCCCTGTTGATGGCATATCTTGTTTGCTTATTTCCACTGCTATGTATGCCATAGATAATTATGCCATCATAGAAGTACCCATTCTCCTGCTGCTAGACATTTAAGGGGCTTTCCAAGTTTTTCTGTTGCTCTCCATGGTTCCATGAATGTTGATGAACGTTGCTTGAAATCTCTAACCCTGACCAACACATGTTGTTGTTCTTTTGGGCTGGAATTTCCTTTCTCCTCACTTTTGGCCATTTCTTACCATTCTTCAGCTGTCTGCCTACATGCAAGCTCTTCAGAGAAGTGTCCATTCCCTGCAGCAAGGTTACTGGGGTTCTGGTTACTCCTTCTTTGATCTCTCACTGCAGTATCCCCTCACCTTTTTCATGGCCCCCTCGCACCATATGTTAATTACATGTTGATGTTTCTCATTATCTCACTAGACTTCAAATTCTTTTGAGGCTGATGCCTGCCCCAGTATGCTCAAGAAGAGTTTGTGGCATGAATGATGCATTGAATTTTGTGACCCTTTTACTAGATAATGATGGTGGTGATGATGATGATGATGATGATGATGATGATAGCTAATATTACTGAGCACTTCCTCTATTCCAGGTACTGTGCTAAATACATGTATTAAACCTTACAGTAGGGTGCTTTGGAAATTAGGTAGTAAAACAAGTCTTAATTAACATCTTACTTCATTTGAGGAATTAAATAAGATTTTTTTCTTATTTGCCTCTCTGTGTATATTGTGTTTCAGTGTGTGATGAGCATAAGGAGTTCAAGGATGTCAAACTCTTCTACCGTTTTAGAAAGGACGACGGTACCTTCCCGTTGGACAATGAAGTGAAGGCCTTCATGAGGGGACAGAGGCTGTATGAGAAGTATGTCACCCATGAAATCCCCCACTGTGATCTTAACTTGTGGAGAGAAGCAGGGCTATTTTGGTCTTTTATCATTCTGACTTCAGCCTGGCTTTTCCATGTGGGATGGTTACATAACTGTTCCTTTTAATATGGGAAAACTCGATCACTCATTTGCTTTTCTCTTTGCCAGAAATTAAGTTGATTTCGTAAGATTCTTAATAAAAGATTTATTTAAATAGAAAATATTTAAATATTTATTTTCTATATTTAAGTCTATTTAACAAAACTCCAGAAATAAAAGGTTGGAGCTTGATGTTTGCCATCAAGTAATGCAGTTGCCTGTTTTCTCTTTTGAATACTGTTGTATAACTTGGAGGTTGAGTCTTGTAAGTGGCTGGAGGAGTAGTGTCAAGTACAGGGAAAGTTCACATTCAGGTCAAGAGATGAGTAGTGAGAGAACTTCAGATAGCTGGATGGCCTAAGAGGAATAATCTCTCAGCTCTTTGAAGAGAGGAATACACTGTGGTCCAGGAACATTCAGTTGCTGGGTTTCAGATCTCCCCAGTGGTCTGTCTCTGAGCTGAATACCTGTTCCTGTGGTCTCTTTTACATCCCACCTCTTTTGGTTTTTTCCAGGACAGCCATTAGAAAAAGGAGTGCAGGAGCATGACACCCCTGCTTAACTCTGGCTGCCTTTCAAGGCTTGAGGGAGTTGAAAATCAGTATTTATCACACAAAAGAGCCTACTCTGTGACGGGTGGGTTGGTGCATGGGGAGGTGGGTTGGCATGGGGACGTCAGATTAAGTAGCATGATGGTTAAGAGCCACATATGTTTGATTCTAGCCCTGTGACCTTACCTCTGTAAACCTCAGTGTCCTTTGTTATGACATAGGAGTGGTGATGGTACCTACCTCCTAGGTGTTCAGTGCTGCTGTGGGAATTAAAAGAATAAATGTGTCAAATACTTAAATATTTAGATTGGTAACTATGGTACATTGTCAGTCCCAGAGATGATAGCCATTTCAGTTATGAGTCTGGTAGTGATGACCACCTGAAGCTGGTATTGTCCAACCATTTATAATGCCCCTTATGTGTTACTTCTCCCATCACTTGCTTTCTATACCCAAGTGCAGAAAATCCCTCATCTCCTAGCTCACATGAATTTGAATGGAAGGGATCCATGAGCAACTCCATTTGTGTATCTGAGTGTGTGTATATGTTTTGTTGCTGTTTTTAAAATTTATTTATTTAAATTTAATTAACATATAATGTATTATTAGTTTCAAGTAGAAGTCAGTGATTCCTCAGTCTTATATAACACCCAGTGTTCAGTCCATCACGTGTCCTCCTTAATGCCCATCACCCAGTTACCCCATCCCGCTACCCCCTTCCTCTTCAGTGACCCTCAGTTTGTTTCCTATAATTAAGAATCTACCATTGTTACTGTTTTCTTTTACTTTCTTAGCACTTTCTGGAAATTAGCACCTAGCAGGTGTTATATATTTAGATCACCATGACAGTCCTTTCAAACTGTAAAATTCTATGTTAAAAACATATGTGTCATTTTCATGGATCAACATTGCTGTCTTTTTTTCTGTGTTCACTTAGCTTTCCAGTCATTAGTATTCAGTATATCAATTTCCAAGTAAGCTTATTTCTTCAAACTGCTTGTGAAATTAGTACTAGGAACAGTAATTTAATCAGTACTTAACCTTGCATGAACTAGTTGCCACCTCTCATTCCTGGCCCTACTCTTGGTTGCTGGAATATATGTGGAACAAACTTTGGGGCCTTTGGAATGATGGCTCAGTGTACCTACTTGATCACTTTCATTTAGCATGTATATTTACTTAATCATTTTTACTGTATTTTCCATGTTTCCCTGGATATCCTTTCCATGAATCTCAACATGTACTATTATTCTGTAAGCTTTGTATACTTTCAAAAATAATATGAAGAAGTAAATAGTTTTGTTCATAGCTCATCTTTTCAAGAATTTTATCTTAATACTGAATTTTTCCCATAAATATATGTGTATATATATATATATATATATATTTGTTTTTGCCAGAACAGTTGTTTAGGATACCTCTAACATTTGTGAAAGAAGGCTTTGCAAAATATATGTTTCTTTTAAAATAATAACAATCAATAACATTGGTTGGTTAATAACTATGTAGACATCCTGACTAGCCCATTTATTTGACCATCATAACAAACCCTGATTTAGATCAATTGTACCCATTTAATGGATGAGGAAATGTGGTAGGGAGAAATTCAAGTTCTTACCCAAGGTCACTTCACTAATAAAAATATCTGGGATTTTAACCCAGAAGCCCAAAGCCCAAGATTTTTTTTCCTCCCAAAGATTTTATTTATTTATTCATGAGAGATAGAGAGAGGCAGAGACATAGGCAGAGGGAAGAGCAGGCTCCCTGCGGGGAACCTGATAAGGGACTTAATCCCGAGACCCCAGGATCATGCCCTGAGCTGAAGGCAGATGCTCAACCACTGAGCCACCTTGGCATCCCCTAAGCCCCAAATTTATTGCTATTAGGCTATTGATAAATTTTAGAAAAACATTTTTATTATTAGGAAAGATACATCATTACTTATTTTTATGGACATCAAATTAATGAAATCAATGTTTTTTCAAGATGTAGTTTATCTTAACATGTAACATGGAGTTTGTAAAATATCTGAGTATGGAATTTCTGTAAAAAGTGACTGAAAACATTCCAAGAAGACATTGGAAAAGGAGAGTAGAGTGATTTCCTTCAAGATAAATCTACCTATAGATTAGGGACGAAAGAACATAGGGAATATAGTCAATGGTATTGTAATTAAAAAGAGAGAGAGAGAGAGAGATAAACCTCATGATATTCTATGAAATGTGATAAAAAAAAAACAAATGTCTTTTATTTGTAAATTAAGCTCCTCAAAGCACTTCTAGATTATTTAGGTGAATTCTCTTAATAGAGTAATAATAGAATAGTAAAAAATAATAGAAATAATAGTGTAGTAAATAACAGTATAAAATATAATATAAAATAAATGGAAGATTACATGATTACCCTGTTTTCAGAAGGAGCATCTAGGACCTGAGGCAATAAAGTCAATTTTGTATGATGGTGAAAGTGCATGAGAAGGACAGAGGAGACACCTGAACTCAGGGTGGCAGGTGTGCAACCTTCTGTTCCCCACACCCTCCCAGCAGCTCTGGGCAGCTGTCTGTCTGGTCAATATTTCCTTTTTGCTTTCCTCTTGCTTGTTTATTCTGTGTTATTAATAGAACTTTGTGAAACCAAGTGGTTTCTGTCTGGGGTTTTGCTGAACCAGGCTGATTTTGGGGAACCTTGGCTTTCTAACCTGTAGAGGTGTTTCTCAGTTGGCTAGTTTGTAGGACAAAGCTATATTTCAAAACGAAAATTCAGTGACTCTGCTGCCTCTTAAGGACCATGTCACTCCAGTTAATTTAATTCAAACAAATACTGGGTGAGGGGCAAAAGCTCGGCCCTTTCAGTGTGTCCCACCATGAGGAAGGTTACGAGAGACCTGATGACAGGAGTCTGCTGCATAGTGAGTGACAGTGGGTGTGGTTTTCAGAGTCACTGCTCTCCAATCCCACCCTCCCAAATGGCTTGCCCTGCGACCTTGGGCCAGCTGCTCAACCCCACTGATCTGTAGTCATAAATGGAGGTAAGGCTGGGTCTCACTTGGGAAGACTGTTGGATTTTGCAGTCTGTACATTGCTAAGCACAGCACTTGGCAAAGAGTAAGAACCCAAGAAATATTAGCTGCTGTTATTAGAGTAGTAAATCATAATATAAATAAATGATACCTATTATTATTTAGCCTAGCGTAGAAGAGTCCAGGAGCCAAGCTGCCTGGGTGTGAATCCTGGCTCTGTGCCTTCTTGGCAAGTGTCTTCACCTCTCTGTGCCTGCAGTTGCCCTCCTATATGAACATACTGACTTTTAGATTTCTCGTGGGGACTAAACGAACGTGATGAATAAGCACACAGGACAGGGCCTACCTCAGAGTATGAGCATATCCTGTTGCTCATCTCCTGCTGCCAGCTGGAAGGAAGAGTGAGAAAGAGGATGTGTGCCCCTGATTCAATGCCCAGACTTTGTCATTTTGAGCAGTTCATCTGAGCACATTCAGGACATGATGCACTTCCATCAACAAGCTTTCATCAAGCCTTCACTGTGGCCTGAAGGTACCTAGAAGAAGGTATGTCATCTCTCCAGGAGGCACTTACCGTTTCCTACTCAATTTTGCATGGGTCCAAGCACCCCAGACACACAACATGTGAACGTAACTCACATTCTCCCAAGTGGTACAATTTTTACTTTTCAAATGAAACCTGCGTGAGCAGGATAAATATCCATGACTTAGAAGAACAAGGTGGAATCTGTGTATGCTGCTGTCACATGGTAGAAGATATTTCAGGTACATATTCCAAACTATAACATTTTTAAAAAATATTTTATTTATTCATGAGAGGCACACAGAGAGAGGCAGAGACATAGGCAGAGGGAGAAGCAGGTTCCATGCAGGGAGCCCGATGCAGGACTCGATCCCAGGACCCCGGGATCACGCCCTCAGCCAAAGGCAGATGCTCAACCACTGAGCCACTCAGGCATCCCTCAAACTGTAAAATTTGATTATCATTCTACAATTAGCAAAATAGATCTCTTTAATACAAGTTAAATTCAGGATTATCAAGTGCTGCATATGCTGATAAATGGAGGTAGCTATAAAAGAGAATATGAATTTGAGGCACAATTTGGACTCATTTTTTTCTTTTTTTTTTTTTATGAAAACTGATAGTTGAAATGCACATTTTTAACTAACCCTGATTTCATTGTGAGATCTGGAGGAGACTTCTCAGTTCTAATTTAACCTTAGGGTTAGCATGGAGGTAGCTTCCTTCCAGGTCTGGTTCATACAGACATTAATTTAGTGTTTTACCTAAAGGGCCTTTTGGTTTTCTCAGCAGCGAGCGTTTCTC